ACAAAATTCCCATATCAATATTCTTTGTCTTAGGAAAACATTAGAACAAAATGTAAAGGGTTATGCACATGAAATTATTTGAGTAAATGACAGTACACTCAAAAACATGAATTCTATCTTTTGGAATTATTTACAAATCAACAAAATAAAAATAATAGTAAGATATTGAGGAAAAAGTCTAAAATGATATACAAGCATAAAGTAAATTAACTGTACTGCAGTTTCAATTAATATTATAACCATAGTGATTGAAAAAAATTAATTTAGACTGTAATTTTGACCAAGTTGTCTTAATTTACCTTCAGACCAAAAAAATACAAAAAACAAACAAACAAAAAACTTTGTAAGCAAATGTCAAATTATATAAATTGTTAGTTTTGTTATATTGTGTGTGTATGTGTTTTTGCTCTGTGTTTGTTGTTGTTTTTTGTCAATTTATTGATTATCAGAGGTCTCATTTCAGTGATATCAGCTTACATCTTGAAAATGTTTTTAAAAAAATCATTTTAGAAATGCTAATAAATCACATTCACATAATACTACCAATTTATGAATGTGGTTAAAATAAAAAAGAATGACCATATCAAATATTGTTGAAACAGTATACAAATTGGCATTCTTATAAACAGCTGATAGGAATGAAAAATGATAAAACATCTTTGGAAAATAGTTTTCGATCTTAAAGAAGTTAAATGTATACCTACTACGTTGTGACTGGATTCTGTTTAGTCATTGTGAGCCCATGTAAAAGAGCAGAACTACCACAGAGTATTTTCTTGGCTATGACTTTGTAGAAGTAGATAGCCAGGTCTTTCTCTTGTGGAGCCTCTGAATAGGTATAAATTGCCTACCTTTCCATAGATAGTCAAGTGTTTAACCATTGTGCCTCCAGGATTCCTTGTTTTTAGGTGACACGAAGTCAGTTCTGACTCATAGTGACTTTATGCACAACAGAATAAAATATTGTTTTGTCCTACATCATTCTCACAATTATTGTTGTTTGATCATATTGTTTCCACTACTGTGTCAATTCATCCAGTTGGGGCTCTTCCTCTTTTTTGCTGAACTTCCACTTTACTAAGCATGATGTTCTTCTCCAAGAATGGTCCAAAAGTGTCTAAATAATGAGAGACAAAGTCTCACTATTCTTGCTTCTAAGGAGCATTCTGATTATACTTTTTCCACAACAGATTTGTTTGTTCCTCTGGCAGCCCATTGTACTTTCAATATTCTTTGCCAATGATAAAATTCAAATGCATTGATTCTTCTCTGTTCTTCTTTATTTCCAAAGTACATATGTATATAATGCAAATGAAAATACCATGTCTTGGGTCTGGAAAACCTTAGTCCTCAAAGTGACATCTTTGTTTTTTAGCATTTAAAAGAGGTAGTTTGAAGCATATTTGCCTAATGTGGTACAACATTTTGTTTCTTAACTGCTATTCCCATGAGTGTTGATTGTACATCCAAGCAGAATGAAGTCTTTGACAACTTCAATCTTTTCTTCATTTATCGTGGTATTATTTATTGGTCAATTTTTGAGGATTTTTATTCTCTTTACACTGAGGTGCAATGCATGCTTAAAGCTGTAGTTTTTAATCTTTATCATTAAGTATTTTATGTCCTCTTCATGTCCAGCAAGCAAGGTTGTATCATATGTATATCACAAATTTTTAATGAGCCTTTCCCCAATCCTGATGTCATGTTCTTCTTAAAATAATCCAGCTCCTTGGATCATTGCAGTAGTCCTATATACTTATTATATCATCATATTATTTCATCGTTGTAAGATAAATGGAAGTATATATGTTCTAAGATGACTTGTCCACAAATGTTCATCGCAACTGTATTTATTATTACCCCAAACTGGAAACAACCCTAATGTCAATTTCTGGGCAAAGAGATAAGCATTCTGTGATGTAGTTGCTGTTGTTAAGGGTCTTGGAGTCATTTCAAACTCATAGTGACTCTGCATAGGGTTTCTGAGAGTGGTTTGACTCACCAACCTTAAAGATGAAACCGACCTTGCTGTCCAGTACATTATCTCACAGCACCACACCAGGACTCTTCAATGGCATATGCTTACAATGAATACTACTTCAACAATAAAAAGTAATGAACTGTTAATACATGTAACATGAATGAATCGCAAAATAATTGTGCTTCATGAATTAAGCCCCATGTAAAGAAAGGAGTGCATTCAATATGATAGACACTGGACTGAAAACCACAAGTCATGAGAAAGATTAGGTTTTCTACTCCCACAAATTTAAAGTCTCAGAAACCCTATACAGGGTCTCTATGGGTCGGAACTGACTCAATGGCACTTAACAACAACAATTATATAATTGAATTTGTATAAAGTTCTTGAAAAAGAAAACTAATCACTTATGGAAAGCATGTCAGTGGTTATTTAAGAAATGGAGACACGGATAAAGAGATTACCAAAGGCTTCACAAAACATTTGGGAGTGATGGGTGTATTCAATATTATTGTGTTGATAGTTTAACATATACATGCTTACATATGCAGACATACCTGGAATTATACTCTTTAAATGTGTGCAGATTTGAATGCTGTGTATACTCCAGTTACACTAGAAATTTTGAGTTGAATAACACAAATTTACAAAGAAGTAATCTATAAAGCCCTGCAGAGGAAATCATGTGACTCTGGAAATGGAATTTCTTTTTGACAGAGGATGCTGGAAGAAGAATAGGTAAATGTTTCTGGTTTTGTCGTAAGTGGTTCTGTGTTTCATTCCTGGAGGAATCCGTGTTTAGACATGAAGATCATTTGCTACAAGCTATTATTTTCTGCATAATATTTGTAAGAGGGATTTGGTATTTCACAGATGATTTTTGATCAGGGTTTGAATATTTTCAATGATTCTTCCTCATACAAGACATTATTTTTTTCTTGGTCTATTTCCTTAAAAACTTAATTTCTTTTGGAATCTGAAAATTATGTGTGTATCCTTATATGTGTGGGCAAATGTAGAGTTCCTTGGCATAGACCAAGTAATACACAACTTTTAAGTCTATTTTTCCCGGTTATAAATATTTTCTTACATAGCACAAATTTTAAAGTAGAGTTTATTATATTATTTTTCATTTCATGTTATTACAATGAGTGATGACCAGTGTCACATATTCTGCCACCAAATACTGAAAACTTCCTTATAAGAAGGGATGTAATTCTCAATTCTTTGATTTTAACTGTCTCACTTAAATTGTTGCCCCCAAATTTCAGATATTAGCGTAAGTATCTTTCTTTTGTACAAATTAGTTGTCTACATTAATTAAGATGATCTTTAATCAAGTCTAATACTAACATAGCTTTTCTTGACCTGCAAACTGTCTTGAGTCATCAGACCCTTGAGAACCTGTATTTATAAAAGGTAGGGGAGAAAAAAATGAACAAATCTGTAAAAGATCCAATCCTATCTGACCAGTTCAAAACAAATTGTTAATATAATTTACATCAC